ACTTGTGTTTTTACAGGGGAGGTCATTTCTGGCTGGGCACACTGATTTCCTGGAGTCTCTGCTGTTTACCTAAGCCAAGCTAAGCTACATAATTAGCTTTGTAATTACCATACAGATGTTAGAGTAGCATTGATCTTCACATCTAACTCTTAGCCAGGAAAAGTATATACATTGAACCATATCAAACTATTCTTTTAATCTAAAAACTCCAATTTTAACACTGTTTTTGTGGGATGTGAATCTCAGTGGAAAAAAAGAAAAAGACTAGTGACTATAATAAAATCAAATATAGATGTGATTTCTTCCATTTTCATTTGTTTTCCTTCTATGACCCATTCATCATCTCCTCTTCTGGGATTTGATCAGTATCGGATGGACGGCATGTAAATCCATGGTTCTGACTATTTGGTAAACTCTTTCTGTATTATAGCCAAAAAACTAATCCAAAAAACAAATGAATACTTTTTCACTTAGTGCCTCTACAGCTGTGAACAGTCAAAAACGGGATGGCTGTAATTAAAAGTAAATAACTCTACAAACTATTAGTGCATTTCATTGCTTTCCAAGCACCAGACATACTCTTTTACTTACACAGTTTTTATAAAGTCACTGGCATGGCCTATGTCTGTGCAGGCCAATTGGACTCAGGTTGTCAAATGTAGTTTGTTAGAAAACAGACCAAACACTCAGCTCACAAAAGGTGAAATGTCCCACTGAGTCTGTAGAGTGGGTCTGCAAAATCAGAACAAAAGACAAAAATTTACAAAAATACATAAAACACAAAAGGAATTCTGTATGCAACTGTAGCTGAGATATGAGAGATCAACCACTGCTAACTGCCCTAAATGTTACATAATGCCCACTGACAGCACCTGCCCACACCTCAGGTGACATAATGACTTGTCAAGTCATATCAAGTAAAATTTTACTTAACTGGATATAGCCCAATAACACAAATCACAAATTTACCTCACAGGACTTTGCAGTCTCAGCATATGATACCCTTTGTCCTTAGATCCTCAAATTGGAAAGTGAAAAACACCCGTAAAAAGCCCTTTCACTTTTGGTTGGTTAGCAGTAAACTGATTGCAGACTGTTCAGTGGTTTAATCCATAACAATATATCATATTTTTTAAGATGATCACATGTTTTTAATTTACAATATTAATGTGTACCACTGCTACTACTAAGAATTACAGGTGTTAGACAAATGCAATATAGTAAAACATATTTTTGCCTCTGAAATGTGTTCAAGGAGAAGTAAAAATTAAAGACAAGTTGCAATAAAATATGGGTATGTATAGTACTTACAGTAGGTAAATCTACTTTGGTCACTTTGCACCACTATTCTGTTGTATTGATAAAATGTACCAGCATGTATATGTGTATACATTTATGTTTATATGTGCATCTTGGCATATATCTATGTATGTATTGTGTATTTATTTATATGTCTGGTAATATGTGTATATGCATAATGAAAGTTTTCTCCATTGCCTGGACTGTGTGACTGTTTCATAAACAAGGTTGTGAATTTTGTTCTGTGAGACTGGCCTCAGTCTACACAGTCATTGTAAGAATATCTTTTCAAAGTCCATTTATTAATTTGTGGATGTGTAAGAACAATTCAGTTTATATTATTATTTACTTAAGCATATTATTTAACTTTAACTTAGTGGATCAATGAAACATTCAGTATGTCAAATAATGGGCATCTGAGTTTACTGTGAAATCCAGCTCCTAAATTAAGCTTCAGCTTAGTCTGCATTTGAAAAATGTCTTATTCTGCTCTGTTGGGAGAATGTTTTGCTTTCAAGACCAGCTGCAATCCAAATATTTTCTGAGAGACTTCATTACCCAAAGGCATACTTCTGCTAAAACACAAAAAACCCCAAGGACTGAATTAACACAATTTAACAAATTGTATCTATAATTACACATTTTTGCAGCACATATTGCTGCATCAAGTTGAAATAATACATAAGATTGCCATCTAATTTATACAGCAAACATTTGACTTCACGTGACAAGTTCAACAAATGTGAGGGGAAACAAACTGCTGTAGGACTCCACTGATGTTTGTATCATTTAAAACATGTCCTCTTGTGAATATTAACAGACTGCTGTCTGAACAGGCCCTTGTATCGAAACCTTACCTCACCAAAGGGAAAAAGAAAAACTTTTTGCAAGTTAATGTTTTCCTTTTGGAGCCACTATCACACGTATCTGCATCTTGGGAAATGTCATCTGACTCCTCTTGTATCTACAGAACCAGTTAAGGAGCAAAGCAGGATGAACTCGGGATGGGTCAGATGCTGTAAGTGCGTAACATGTCGAGGGTAAAGGTGCTGCATTATCCATTAGGTGTAAGAGTGGATAGAGAGAGCTTGGCATCTCTGAGGTGCTGATTGAGCCGACAGATGGAGAAGAAATTAGGATGAAAAGGAATCAGCAAGGTAGAACCCACCCCCTCCCCTTAATCTGCAGCCAGAGAAAGATTTTACTTTCCTTGCAAGATCAGGGGGAAAACAGCCAGGGAATCATTCTACTAAACCCTCGACTGGCAGGCTCTGCCTGGGATTGGTTCAGCATCTGTTGCTTCACTTTCCAATGGAACTCTCAGTTCTTTTTTTTGCCTAAATGATTTGTTGCGCCATTTGAAATTGATTAATCTTTTCATAATAGCCTGTTCCACATCTTGTGTCCAGTTTATAAAGTGTTTTAGAATCACACACTGAAATAGAGGTGTAATGAGGTGAGAACATATTAAATTGAATGAGTTTGTTTAAATAAACATGAATAATGGCACTTCAGAATTCACTGTTCTTGCCTCACTTTGGTAATAAAGTTTAGTATTATAGCAATTAAACACAGGCGTTGTAACATAAAATACCAACGAAGAGACAAATTTGCTGAAGCCATTATCATAGCTGAACTATAGATCCATCAGTGGCTAGAGCAAATACAGTTACCAAGGCTGTGCAATGCTATAAATTTGTTATTTTAATAACCCCAAATCTCTAGAAATTTCTTTCAAGAAAAGCTACTCTGCTATACAGACATACAGATCCAAAACTGCAACAGGCCCCAGTAACAACAACGGTCAGTGATCACAGCAGGGGATAACATAACTCTTTTCTCTCCCACAGTGTGACGCAGAAGAGAAAACATAAAGAGACAAAACCATTTTCAGCCAGTTGCAGTGAAGCCTGACTTTAACCCCTTTCCCTGTGACTCCATCGCACCTGTGCAGTTGAGGACCTCAGGGACTGACCCTGTTCAAACCATGCATGGGGCCTTGGGCCTCCCTGTCGTGCCTGATGTATGTCAGAGTGTCCCAGGGTCCTCTCCCCGTAGGTCTCCCTCCAGAGACCGTATGAAAACGGCTTGCTCTCTCAGCTGTGATTGCTGTTTGTCACACAGCCTGGTTTGTGGGCTTCATTAGTGGAGGAGGTGGGTTACATATGGGGAGTGTGTTTTACTGCCACTGGCTGTCTGTAAAGTCCAGAGATCACGACTTGTGTGACACTCAGTAAATCAGCCAAGCTTTTGCACATTTTTGGACAGTCAGGGAACACAAGATTGAAGGACACCAGATGAGAAAGAGAGAGAGAGAGAAATTGTTATCAATACAGAAAAACCTAAAAAAATATGAAGTCCTTAAAAGTACTGCCAACACGAAATGCTGTAAAATACTGTATGGTTTTATGATATGTAATTAGCGCCTGTCCGTGTTTATGGGAACCGTCTTTTAGTTAGTTTTTGTACAGTATAGATGTATCACTCACTAATTATTTGTCAGATTTTTCTCCACATACATTTTTGCAGCTGAGTCCTGAGAATGACAAGCACAGAGAGGGAGACATTTGGATCAATTTATGCTTAGTGTTGACATCCTGCTACTACAGGACATTTGCCTTTAGAACAATGTTTATTAGACCTTTTTGTAAATGTGCAAGTCATCCAGGAAAGGTAGTCAACACACACTTGAGCTGGAGAATAACTCCTGCACACTGTCAACAGTTATGGCAGGTTTAATAAATAGCCTGACTTTCATCAGGAACTTTCATAACCATTTACCTTGAGTGTTGACTGTGTGGATTATATTAATTGTACTGAAATGTTAACAAGTAAAAAACTGTTTGATGGAGCTGAATATCCAAACCTCTTGTAAAGACCCCTCTAGTCGTGTTTTAAGACATCTAAGAATACTGTGTTTAGAATCATAATTTGTGTTTGAGGTTTTCCACCAAATAAATAAATAATATAAATAAAATAAAAAAAGAATCTCCTCAAAAATTCCTAAAATTACATCTCTTCCCCCACTGTATCTCCAAATCCCAAATTTAGGAATATGTAAGTATTATTCATTTAAGTTTAACAACTGAAAACAAGGTGTCTCATTGAAAACTAACACTATCCCCGTACATGGAAAAAAGACATTAAATATGTATTATGCATAAAAAGAAATAAAAATAAGGTATAACATATATAATCTGAGATTATGCAAACATTAAACCTGCTGAGAAGGAAAGGTCAAAATAACAGTTGACTAAAATAAAGATACAGACAACATCTTTATGTCTTTAATGGGTTTTGCCCAGGGTCAGTGTTTGTGCGAGGTAGTCCACCTGTTATGAGGTGCAGGTGAGGAACAGGGACCAGGAAAATTGGGCCGCACGCACCTCAGATGATTAAGGATGTGCAAATGAAGCAATGAACCAGTATTGAACCACTTCATCAATTGTCTCGAAAATGTGTTCATTCATTCAAAGCTTTGTTTCAGTGACATCTAGTGGCGAAACAGGAGACAGCAAAACAATGTCTTAATAATTATGTGATGAGCGTAAATAGGGTTTATGTGAATGATGTAAATACATTTTTGTAAAGATTGATTGATTGGTCAGTGGGTTGATTCTAAAAACTCAGTAGTTGGGAGAAGGCGCGCTTGGGGAAACAGAAGATGTGCTAGGATGGTAGGGTGTGATTATGTAAGTGATCAAAGATTTTTATCAGGAAGCAATATTTTTCACACTGGTTTGAACCAGTCACCTGATTCACTAAGAATGAACCAGTTTCTGCTTCGGGCGTCATCGGTGTCTATTTCCGCACCAAAACAAGCTTCGAAGCAGTGGTTCAAGGAAAATGTTGCTTCGAGTTTATTAGCTTGTATCGGAGCATCGGTGTCAGACAGCCATCACTACGGATAATGTCCTATTATGGGAGGAAAATACTTTCCCCTGGCTAATTTCGGTCAGTTTGGAATACTACTTGGATGTGTTTTTGTCATAACGTTAGCCAGGTAGGTTTATCTGTGGTCGCTAGCCGCTAAGCTAGCGGAAGTAAAGATGATAGCTACACAGCTAGCTAGCTTGCTAATATTATCGGCTAGCATTATCTAGACTTTAGCTAGTTCCGAGTTAACCCGTGTAAGACATCCATGGACACGATTGTGTTTGAAACCGAGCTGGATTTAAAGTCAGATAGACCTCCCTATGACCTGGAAACCGGTGTGTGTCCTCTGATGAAGACTGCGGTTGGCTTCAGACCAGAGCAGACATTAGTGTTGACCTTGTCCAGGACTCAAAAGAGAACTGTAAGTCATACTGTTACCTTTAATTTACAACACAGCCCCGACTGACAGTATAATTTTATTGTATGTATCAAGTACCAAAGAAAGAGTAATAATTTAAAGGCGAACCAAACATTGTTAATAATTTGATTTGATTTTGATTTGATTTATTCTTTCAAGCATGTAAAACAGTTGATATGACAACACACATAATTTTACACATAATCTAATATCAATTTACTTATACCTAGTACATGCTTGAATGGAGTAGGAAGAAGTCAGACTTATCCAGTCCTACCCCATGACATCATCTTACCATCATTGGTTTGCTTTGGAATACTACTTGGATGTGTTTTTGAAGTTGACACATACCTTTATATTTATGTTTAAACTTGTCAATTCTAGTACTGTTTTTTATGTCTACACTTAAGTTATTCCATAGTTTTACCCCACTTATGGAAATACAAAATCTTTTTTTGGTTGTACGTATAGCATGAATTTTTAAATTTAACTGACCCCTTAAATTGTATCCCCCTTCCCTTTCATTAAATAGTAATAATGGTCCATGACTATAGTTAATTAACCACTAGTGGAAATAGGATACTCTGAATCTTCTATCAAATAACACAAAAAATGCAAAAGTCTGTATTCAAGATATTAATTAAGTAAAAGTACGAAAGTATTAGCATCAAAATATATTTAAAGTACTCATTAACCAGAATGACATATTATGTAATTAGATTATGATTATTGGTGCATTAATGTGTTCATCACTAATGTTGCAGCTGGTAAAGTAGAGTTAATGTTAATCTGAATTGGCTTTACATACTTCTGGGTAGTTTGTGAACTTCCCACTGAGGATCAATAAAAGTATTATAATTATACCTATTTTATTCTGTTAATCTGATTCTTAAAAGCAATTAACCTATTAGATAATGTAGTACAGTAAAAAGTACAATAGTTGCCTCTTAAATAAAGTGAAGTCAAAGTATGAAGTAGCATAAAATGAAAATACTCAAATGGAGTACAGATATGTCAAAATTGACTGTTGAATTTCTTATTGAAAGGCACTTTCATGCAGAATAACTCCACTAAAGTTCATTGAGTATGTTTTTGTGCTGGCTCTGCCGTTTGTAGATGACTCCTGAATATTCTTCATATTCTGTGCAATGGTTAGTTTGCAGATGGTAAAACTAGCTATTTTTAATGGCAGTTGGTTTTTCTTAGCTGGTCAACTATTGTAATCTTCAGTCTTCTCAAACTATATTATTGGACCTTTACCACAGTGCTTATTCTTTCAAGTCCCACCACCACAATCCAATATTTAGAATTATTTGGACTTACAGGCCAGAAATGTTGCTACCAAATATGTTTCCTAATGCAGTGAGATATAAAAGCACTTAGTGCCAGCGAGTGAATACGTATGGGAGCAAATTTGTTCCATCTCGTGGAGATTTAGCTGAAGGTAACTTTATATTTTCTGATCATTTCTTGTGGTTGACTGAGAGAGGAGACAGAGACCCTCATCTGTTTTACTTAATGTAGACTGACTATCAGCTGTGACTTTCATCTTAATTTCTCACCCAGTCGGACCGCTTTCACTCCTGATGTGCTGGAAAATGGTGATGTGCACCATAAGACCCATGCCAGACATGGCAGATGTGCTGCTCTGTGGTTGTGAAAGCACTTATGTTTCCCAAGACGTATTTCAGTTTAATGATAAAACAAAAACGAGGATTTTCCCTTGAGCTTATTTTGTGACTATTTCTATTTTTCAAGCAATTTCACCTGTCCGCATCTGGTCTCACATCACAAAATTATGTTCTGTTGAAGCATGACATTGATGTCTTTTAGGGTTTTCAAACTTTTTTTGCAGAAAACTGGGAAACAAATGAGTTCTGTCGCAACTGAAGCATTAAAATACCTGTATGTGGGTGTGCTGTCAGTGTGGGGTTTGTAACACTTAGTACTGAGCTGACAAGCCAGCAAATCTGGCAACTTTTGCACTTCTTTGGTGGTTTTTGTCATCCATTTTCCTGGTGGTCTTTGACGTCCCCTGTCAATACATTCAGCCTTCTAAGTGCTCAGAGAAGGAGCTGGCAGAGAAGCAAACCTGGCACATTGGCTGTTTCAGCAGACAACAAGGAGTGTGTGTGGCACACTGCAGACGCTGGTACGTGTGTGTGTGCATGGTGATGGTGGAGGGGAGGCCGCCTATGGCAGCAGTAAGCTCCGTCGTGAATTTAAACAGCTTACTGAGGACAAGGCACTGGCAGCCGAACACGTCTGAGCTGACGTGCCATAAAAAGGCAACAAGCGTTTAATCTCCTTCTCCTAGAAAAAGAGCGACTCACTCTTTTGGCTGAGCTCCCAAAAAAACACTGCATTCTCCAACGGCACAGATGGGGGTTGAATAATTCATGGCAGCAGAGGCATGCTGCAGTTCTATGAAAATAATCCCATAACATCATCACACTTACCCCATTGCCCTGGGTGCTTATACGAGGCACCTGGGAGAGGTCGACTGGCCCTTAAGGCCCATGACTCAGACTTCATTCACTGGGCCTCCTCCATTCTCTGTGAGGAAAACATTAGTATATGAATGCAGAGGAACACAGATCTTGGGTCATTTTGACAACGCAGAAATGAAGATGTGCTGTTGCAGTGGCCAAAGCTGCTGCAACAACACGAGAATATAAAGAAATGAAGAAGAATATGAATGTACAGCGATGCTATGACCATGTGAGACTGTGTCAGCATTAGAGGTTGGAAGTTTCATCATGATACAATCCTATTTACATCCCTTTAGCCATCTCACAAATGCATCCATAATAAAAGTTGAAAAATGTATGCAGTTATAAGCACACATAAGGAGCCACCATGACCATCCAATTCAACATGAATTTGGACTTTTTTGACATTGTCATGCACCTAAAAAGGCTAGAAATAAATCCAATCCATCTTTCATACATTCTAAGTTTAAAACTTAGTGTTATGTGTGTGTCCATGAAGTACTTTCATACCTATGACTTGTTTTTGATGGGAGAGTTTACTCTCCTGTCTCATGCAAAAGATTCAGACTCCAGTCAATCTAGTGAATTAATCCACACAGACTCAGAGACCCAAGTTATGGGGAAACAACTGTTTGGTGGAGGTTTGCACTCTCTTAGCGCTGTCTAGTTCCCATCTTAATTCAGTGTGTTACCTAGTACTATTAACACAAAATACAGCTGAGGCCGATGAATATTGCTGTCTCAGCCAAAGTGGTGGAAGGATCGATCTAGATCCACATCATTAAAAGAATCTTGGAATGAAACTATGTGAATACAGGGAGAAAAGAAAGACAAATGCTATGTGTCGACAGAACGGAGATGGACTGTGTGTTTGCTGAAGTGTATGTATCTGAGCTGAGCTTCCAGGAGGGCAGCCTACTTATTTTGGCCGATTTTGTTCATCTTGGCAGAAGCTGCGTTAGCAGTTGTCCACCCCTTCTTTTAATGTGCTTCCAAAGTCAAGTTGAACAATTTCATTAGAACAGCACTTTGCCCTTGTGGGAAGCGGACAGGGAGACAGCGGACTGGGGTGAAAACAGCAGGAACTGATGGTGAAAATGCAGCCGGGGGAGTCAAGGTGGTGAGGATTGGATTGGTTCGGTATTTCCCCCAACTTGACAGCCGAGTTGTGTTTAATGCAGTGAGTACAGTTAACTTGGCTTTGAGTCTTTTTGCTCTTTTCTTTGGAGAAGAGAACAGAGAGGTGAAGCTCTGACAAACTGACACTTCATGGCTCTTTGCCAGTCTTTCCCCCCTCCGGAGTGACATGATCTCCCCCACAGAGGATATTAACAGTGACCTCTCACGTTCATAATGTGACCCAAGAACAACCTCTGCCGCTTTTTCTGCTCAGTTTGTTCCAACACTGTGCATTGTAGTCAATTTATTCAAGGTTTCCCAATGTGATTATGATAACATGATCCCAAAAAGACATTTACACTGTGAAAAGGTTACAGGCCAACTGTCTTGGAGCAACGCAATTTGATGTATGTGCATTCAAAAGCATAAATATTGGAATCACATGCTAGTTCAAATTTAATCCCGTTTATTATTGTTTTTATACAGCGTGTGTATAGTGGGCTAATGCTCACGATTCCGAATTAAACTAATATAATGTAAGAAAAACACTTTTAGCTTGATGGCCCATTACTTATGATTTTTGACTGCCTTTGCCCTCTTTAAAACAATCTCAACAGATCGCATCACAAAATTCAGACTTGTGTAATTAAACTCTGCGTCTCTTGATAAAAATACTACACTAGCTTTTCTGTTTCCAGTGTTTGCACAAACAGGCGGTGCAGCGGTGTGAAAACGTGGCTTTACAAGCACATAAAAGTGGATACGATTACAGAACACTGGTTTGTGGGCAGGATCTCTTCAACGGTTAAAACAACAGTTGGGTTTTGTGGGTTTTTTAAATGACCCTTTTCTCTTGCTTGAACTCGGGTCAGAAGAAAACCCTGACACACACTGATTGAGCTTAAGTCCATAAAAGAAATGCAGCCCCATGCAGAGCTATTTATGCAAAAGGGTTTGGGTTGAACATAATATTTTCTATTTAGTTAGGGTGGTTTAGTTATGTAAACCTGCAGAGAGGTCCTTATGGACAACTGCAGCAACTGTGACCATGACAGTTAGTCATATTTCACGTAGAATCTGCAGTTTGTTAATAAAGACCATATTTATCTTCAGAATTGTAATTAGTGTTGGGAAAACGAGGGAGGCAGTGGGGAGTAGTGTTATACCTTTGCACAAGTAGAATGACTGAACTGATGTTCATGATTTTGGTAAGGGGTTTGGGGCTCATCCAGGGTTTACACACGTATAAGCACGCACACACTTGTGTTTTCCAGCCCCATGGGCCAGGGTGGGTGTCTTTTTCTTTGTTCTATCCGAGTGCCTGATTAGAAACATCAAGCATAATTTCCTAATTGAGCTGTCCTAACCACTTTCATCTGGGGGATGCAAGGC